CATAAAACCGGGATTCATGAGGTTATCGTTCTGGAATTTGAAATACGGACTGTTTGTCGTGATAAATCTAATATTGACTTCGTACTTGGTCAGTATAGGAAATAAAAACCTCGTAAAAGACCTCGGCTTCGAGTCGGTCTTTTACTCGGCTTTTATTTCCTATTGACCTCGTACTCAGTCAATATTAGGGTTGGTTCACATAAGCAAAATCGGCGCCGCAAGACATCGCAAGACATCAGCGGGGAGCCAGCTCCCGATTCGTTGCGCATACAGCTCGAGTACAGATTAAAGTTTCGTCCCGTGACGTAGAGTTTGAATTTTGTGCTCCTGCTTTCACCCGAGTTTCGCGAACTTTGCACAAGTAGACTTGGTAGCTCCCTCCACAGTGATGCCCGCAAAGGGCAACCCCGCGACTGGCGTTCCTGACGGCCAGTGTTGCCAGTGCACTGGCAATTCCAAGTGCGGAAAAGACTGCTGTTGCCGAGAAGCTGGCAAGCTATGCGAGGATTGCGGGCCTGGGAACAGGGCAAGATGCCGAAATTCGCAAACAATCGCGGCGAGAGCTAGTCCTGTAGGCTTTCGAACCATACGATACATTCCAGCCGCCGCGTCCCCCACGCGGAGACCGACAACCCTGGGCGAAGCCCACGTGTCGCAACAGTCGGCTCAAGACTCTCCGCCTCTGGACAAGTTCCACACCGACGGTCAGGGCCAAGGACTAGATAGCACCAAGCAGGTGTCGGACTCGCAGCAGTTGGCGTGGGACGCACTGGAACAGCTCCACGTCGCTGAGCTCTGTGTCGACGGTCAGGACCAAGGACTAGATGGCACTACCCAAGTGTCGGCCTCGCAGCAGCTGGTGTGGGACACCCTGGAACAACGCCACCTCGCCGACCCGATTTCCAATTCGCAAAAGGTAGCATGGGACCTTCTCGATGCCTCCACACCAACACCTTCGGTGACCGGCTACTGTGGAGAAGTTGCACGGCCACATGAAGCCAATGCTCCATGGCAAGACCGACTACCAACGGCACAAGAGGTCGCCCTCCTAACGAGCCTGAGCTCCTCGCAGCCCAATAGCAACAGCGAGCCAGAACCCATAAACGCGCATGCGCTCGGTACAGCTAGTGGGCAGGGGGCTGCAACACCGCCAATCCCGCCCGCTGACCAACGACTCAGACTCGGTGAGCTGAGCCCCGAGGACACAGGGCAGGTTATAGCTGCAGCGTACGAGGAAATCGTACACTTCCGGCCTAACCTGTTCTCCATCCCATCGGGTGCACATGGCAGGTCAGTGGTGGACTTGAGCGCTCGCTACCTCAACATGTTGGTGCGTTCGGGTCCCGTCAATCGCGATTTAGGTGGATCAGTTCACATTTGGGGGGACAATGTGCCGGAATAAATGCGGCGGGAGAAGGCATAGCTTTGAAGGCACTTAAGGTCTGCCACAGTCTTCTACTGCAACAACCGGTCAACTGCTTGACACGTAAGGTGCATGTGGAATATCTGAACCGACGAATGCAGCTTTGGAACGAGGGAAACATCGATGAACTCGTCCGAGAAGCACGCACCATCCAGCGCCAACTAACCAAGGAACGTGCCGGGAAAAGGGCCCAAAGTCCAGATGACGCGCGACGTTTCGCTACCCTCATCACTCATTAATGGTAAACTGGGTGCAGCTCTCCAGTCCCTGACAGCAACGCCCTCGGGTGGGCTGCTTAATCTGGACTCCTCCGCGAATGGTAAAACCGTGAGGCAAACGCTGAAAGAAAAGCACCCGCCGGCGGAACCCATGCATGCAGATGCCCTCATCATCGGCCCTGCCCTGAACTGCCGCACCCGGTGCTGTTCGAAGCTCTGAACAGAGACATAATTCGGCAATTGCTGCTAAGGACAAATTGAGCAGCGGGCCCATCAGGCATGGAATCTACCAGCTGGAAACGCTTGTGCACCTCGTTCGGAGCGTCCTCCGACCAGCTATGTGATAGCATCGCCCCCTGCGCCAAGCGCATCGCCACCGGAATCATCGACCCAGTTTCCCTGGAGTCATTCACGGCATGCCGCTTGGTGCCTCTGGATAAGGAGCCCGGGGTGCGCCCAGTCGGCATATGTGAAGTCCTCAGAAGGACAGTAGGCAAAGCCATCCTCACCATGATCGGAGAGCAGATCCAGCAGGCGGTCGGGTTGCTTCAGCTGTGTGGTGGCCAAGAATGTGGTGTGGAAGCAGCAATCCACGCAATGCAGCACCTGTGGAACGAGGAAAAGACCGAAGCAGTCCTCCTAGCAGACGTGAGCAATGCGTTTAACAGGCTGAACCGCAGTGTGTGCTTACACAACATCCGTCACCTCTGTCCGGCTATCGCGGGTGCCGTCACCAACACCTACCGGCTTCCCGCACGGTTGTTCGTCGATGGGGAGTGTCTTCTTTCTGAGGAGGGCACCACCCAGGGAGACCCGATGGCAATGCCCATGTATGCCATTGGGCTCCTCCCATGCAGAAGGCAGCGAGCAGCTCAGCGGCACAGCACATCTGGTTTGCGGATGATTTCACAGCAGCAGGCCGTATGCATGCGCTGCGTGTATGGTGGAACATGCTCGAGGAGGAGGGCCACAAGTACGGATACTTCATCGATGGTTCCAAGTCCACTCTCCTGGTGAAACCACAGTTTGCCAAAACCGCGGAGGAAGTGCTCCATGATACTAACATCGCAATCATGCAAGACGGTTGCCGTCACCATGGTCATCTGGGTGCGGGACTGGGCACTGCTGCTTTCTGCAAGCAGTTTGTTACAGCGAAGGTCACGGAATGGGTGAAGGAACTGCAAGTCCTCACCAGGTACGCCCAATCGCAACCACAAGCAGCGTACACAGCGTTCTCGCAAGGGCTGAAGGGCAAGTGGACATTCCTCGCTCGCACCATGCCAGAAGCGACGGAGAATTTCCAGCCACTGGAGGAGATTATCCACGGCGAGTTTATCCCGGCGCTCACAGGACACCCCGCTCCTGATCAGACCACCCGCACTCTCCTCGCTCTGCTTTGTTGCCTAGGGAGCATGGATCTAATCAACCCGTGCGATCTCGCCAGCCAGTTTGATGACTCCAGGACCATCACGCAGCCATTGGCGGAGCGGATCATCGTGCAAAACACGGACCTAGGTGATGTTCACCACACCATGAAGGCAAAAAAGGCGAAGGTGCGCAGGATCCACTCCGTAAGGGAGAAGGAGACCCTAATCGCTGTGGAAGTGAGCATCGCTTCGGACTTAAAGCGGTCCAGGGAGCTGGCGGCGGAGAAGGGTGCCTCGTCGTGGCTGACATGCAAACCACTGAAGATGTCTGGCTTCATGCTATCCAAGGGGGCATTTCATGATCCGGTTTCATTGCGATATGGCTGGCCTCTGAAGCGGTTGCCCTCTGCTGGCAGCTGTGGTAAATTATTCACCGTGACCAATGCTCTCTCCTGCTCAACCGGCGGCTACCCTAGCCTCCGCCACAACGAGGTACGCGACCTCACAGCATCCATCATGAAGGAAGTTGCGCACCAAGTTGTGGTGGAACCGCTGCTAGAGCCGCTGACAGGTGAGAGGATGACGCTACGGTCGGGTTCAACTGAAGACAACGCCCGCCTGGACATCGGTGCCAGTGGAGTCTGGGGAGGTCGGTACGAGCGTTCGTACTTTGATGTCCGGGTTTTCAACCCCCACGCCCCTACCAACGCCAAGTTTGCCTTGCCCGCTGTGTACAAGCGTAATGAGCAGGAAAAGCGTCGCCGCTACGAGGAACGGAGCACCACCGTCGAGCAATTCTTAACGTCACTGCGGCCAGGTATCTTGGAGTGCTCCGCCGAGGCTCGACTCGGATCTGTCATGGACGCCCCATGTTGATCGCAGCATCGCTCGACTGGCCCAGAGGATCGGAGCACTATGGAGGTTGCGTCGCTGCTTGACTCATCAGAGCCGAGTTCTCTACTTTAAAGCGATCATCATGTCTGACCTGATGTACGGATCCAATGCGTTCTCCCCACTTCTTACTGCCAACCAATTGGATCGGCTACAAGTCATGCAGAATCGGGCAGCAAGGGTGGTTTTCACACCTCCGCGCGCACCCTCCTGCTGAAATTGGACACATACAGAGTATCTGAGATATTCAGGCAGAAGTTTATCGTTCTTGCCTGGAGGTCTCGGAATGGGAACGCAAGTTTTGATCTGCAAGCCCTCCTAGTTCCTTCGTCAGCTGGCCCAACTAGGTTGCACTCCACCATGGGTCTGCGCCAACCGCCAGTTTGCACCAGGTTCGGCAATAGTTGCCTCGCGTTCCGGGGCGCCCAGCTGTGCAACACCTTACCCAGCAATATACGTGCCATCTCCACGCTCCGCCATTTCCGCGCCAGCATGGTCCCGCACACCCTTAGTACCTAGAGTACCAAACGTCCTGTTTGATGATCAGCTGGCTTAGTTTCTCTCCACCTCTATCCTTATTACATCCCTCCCCAATTTCATTAACTAGTGCTTTCTATCTGCATTCGCCACCTTTTCATTGGGCTGATCTGCCCGTTTGGTTTGCGAATTAGAATAAACACAACACAACACACACATACCGGTACAGATTATCTACATACATTTATCTAGCCCGTGTCCTCTATCAGTACCCGGGGACAGTACCAGGGGACAGTACCCGGGGACAGTACCAGGAGACAGTACCAGGGGGCAGTACCCGTGGACAGTACCAGGGGACAGTACCAGGAGACAGTACCCGGGGACAGTACCCGGGGACAGTCCCCGGGGACAGTACCAGGGGACAGTAGTAATAGTAGTAGTAGTATTCTTTTATTTTCCATCGGAAGCCTCAACAGTGATGAACACAACTCTTAAGAGGGCCGATAACAGAGTAGAGGTGTGTGGGGTGAGAAAAATAAGTACCGGGGGACAGTACCAGGGGGACAGTACCAGGGGGACAGTACCAGGGGACAGTACCAGGACAAGGTGGAGCAGAGACAGTGGTTAGATAGGCTAGATAGTGATTTTGGTTGAAAAAAATAGTTTGACAGAGATATGAAAACAAAGATTATCAACTTTCTGATAATAGAAAGAAAGTGAAAAGCAGTACAGTTTGCATACTGTAGTTATCATCAGTGATTGACTGTAGTTAGTAACCTACTACACTCACACACTCATATCCAGTGTGTACAGAGCAGTAGGAGTGTCTGATCCACCTACACTGAGTACCAGGGTACTGCCAAACAGTGTGAGTGATGGGGTGTAACGACTGTACTCTGGCATAGCTGGTAGTGGATAGACCTGACCAGATGAAATATCATGTACAACACACTCAGCAGAAGGAGTGTGGGGGCAAATAACCATGCAATGGTCAGACAGTGCGCATGCTGCACTAAACTTCAGCTTAACACCATCAGGTGGACTGGTGGACACCCACCTACCATCATGGTGTTTGAGAAAACAACCAGTAACACCACCAACTAAGTACAGTGAATCAGGGAATGGGACAAGTGATGCTTCGCTGCATGGTAGCGGCAATGAAGGCAATACTAGGCTAGTATTGGATGGTGAAGAAGAAGAGCTCCACTGCTGGCTAGCTAGAGAATAGGTACTAACATGATTGTACTCTGTTCCATAATGCCTGCCACCATATAGAGAAATAGCATCAGCACCTACATGTAGAGTACACCAGGCATGCTTACAGTGCGACGGGACGTCCGTAAGTTTGGTCCACTGACCACCATCACCACCACTGCGGCTGCCATCACCGTTATCTGGTGTGTCACAGTACTGCAGAATAGAGTACACCCGTGTGTTGGTGCTCTTGGTGTATGTGTTACAGTGCATGTACAGCATACCACCATGGGATGCCAGTGATGGGGCTAGCAGCTTACTGTATTCACTTGGTAGGTCAATACTGTGCCATGTCTGCAGGTCTGAAGTCTCCATCATCTTGGTGACGTCGGGACCATCATACCACACAGCAACCAGCTTTTCACTGTACGTGGCAAGCTGGGCATGTTTGCCATGCTGCTGTACCTTTGACTTGTTCCACTGCGTAATCAAAGAAAAACACATACCGAATAACACACAGGCACAAAACAGACATCAACACACGCCCACACCCACACCCACACCCACCCCCACCCCCCCCCCCCCCACACACACACACAAACACACACACACACACACACACACACTTGTACTTGTTGCTCATTGCCGAAACTGGTCACGTGGGTCTCCCCGGGAGAGGGGAGAGAGACTCAAAAGGAATCTTGGAAAGATGACTCAATTGGCTATTGAACCGCCCAACGGCCGACGCCCCCTGAAATCCCCAAAACTTTCGGTGGACTTGAAAATGATCCCACTTATGGGCTCACCACACCCCAGTAAGTGGGTGAGGACAAGGTGCAGAAAAAGGATTGACGGCATCAGGGTATCTGTCCCGGGATCCAACTGCAGTTACCCCTGCCCCCAGCGAAGGTAATACTTGCTACTAGTGTGGGTGGCCAAATCAGAGTGGATCTGATACAAGCTTCACTAGCACCATGATTACACAAGAGTTGATCTAGCCAGAAGCAGTCCATGGTTAACAGGTATGTGTACTTAGAAAGTATATGAACCCTGAAACCAACAAAGGTGGTAGGTACAACATTACACCTTCAAGCAGCCGAGCCTCTTGGCAACAGACCCAACACTATCCGGCATAAGTGTACCCACCAACCGAACTAGCTGTCACACATACATACACACACACACACACACACACACACACACACACACACACACACACACACACACACCACACGCGCACACATACACGCAAACTACTACTACTATGATACAGCTACCCTAAACGGGTCACGCCGCCCTCCACCCAAGCATGAGCACTATGAGGGGCAGTGGCAAATAAAGAGAATCAGCTAGCAGAACTGGCAAAACAGATGAAACAATGGAGCAGAACGGACGCCTGCTGTACTGTAACAACAACCTGACAGCTACAGTGACAACGACTGAAAATGAACAGGAAGGAAAAAAAATTCAAAATTTCACGTCACGAAAAAACACTGCACGCAAACACACACACACACACACACACACATACGGACACGTGCACCCCCCCCCCCCCCCCCCCTCTGGCCAAGTTGCTGACTCATCAGACATGACACGGCGTTTCCGAAATCGCTACTCCCGTAAAAGTGAAAACAAAATGGACTCATCCAATCTTACCTTTCTGTGTTTCTTGATGTTTTCAAACGGTCTTGGCGGTGGCGTGGTAGCTGCTGTAGCTTTAGCCTAAAAGCAGCGGAGATACACAATCATGCCAATGGTTGGTACTGCTGATTGATAGCGAAAACCAATTGCTACGGAGTGCCGTTCCAAAGAACCGTAGTAAATCAACTGGCAACGCTAACCTTTCGTTGTCCCCCAAGTAGAACTTAGTTACAGACAGTCTACGGTGTGAAAACAACAGAACATCCTACAGTATGTGACCAGTGTAATAATTCCTTGCCACATGAGAATGGGAATTTTGGAAGCGTCCGCGGAGAGGGAATTGCTGCAAACCGGGAAACGTTTGTGCCCGTATTAATTCACCATTTGTGACCAAAGACAAAATAGCATCTGCAGATGTTTGCTATTGGAGATCTCACATCCATCGCGAAAACCACAGAAAGTAATCCGGATCGCGAAGGCTTGCAGGTTTACAGTAGAAACTCAACCAGGTATTTTCATTATTTGAAATATTCTTACTAAGCCACACACAGAAAGTCATTTGTTTCGGGTAACCGGACCGACAGATGTTTTGAGCGTCGATCGTTTTTTTCTTGTTGTATACGTTCACGCATATGTGCGTATCATACGCGTATACACGTGTGTAAGCACACTTCTTCTATCCGCAGTGTGCCAGGCTCTTCCTTTCTGGCTCTGGCTATACTAGACATTTTGGTCCTTTGTTTCGAGTTAAGTTGATCGAGTCGGATTTGTTGCGGGTTGTTGCAGGTGCCAAGTCTAATGTTTTCGATGTCGACATGCTTTAGTTGAGAAACTTACGATTATGCCTGCCGTTTCCGTCACTATAGTTGACGGCTGTGGAACCGTTGTCAACACCTGCATTGTTAGAGTACGGACGGTTTGTACCCATAGTAATTTGTTGGGAACTCTTCATCCGGGGTGCGCCGCTCGCTTCAAAGCAGTGTTTGCTTCCTCCACCGAAAACGGGTCAAGCCGCCACGATGCTAACAAGAGCGATGATGATTGACTTCATTTGGAGTTCGGACGTCGAATCTTTTTCTTTACGAGCAACAGGAAGCTATAGTTCCTGGCCCGCAATGATCGCTGAGCGATGTGTTGATGCGCAACGTCTCGGAGCTCTGCCCTGCTCGGTGTCTGAGTCACAGCCAAGTTCTACTCTGTGTGTGACTAGTGTTTGACTGTTCGTGGCAGTCTAATTGAGCTGTTGATTGAGAATGCTATGTAGCAGCCCCATACAGTGCAGTAAAACCAGTCTTTAGTACACCCTGACATGTACATGTAGGCCTGCTTTGTCGACCACACATTTTTGTATCCGGGCTGTGTACTGTACACATGTGCATACCGTAGCCATGGCAATTATGGCTGCGTTCGTTTTTACCTACCTGGTAGAGTAGAGTAGAGTCACTCTACCGATAGAGGTACTTCCTCCGCGTCATCGAAATTGTCGCAGTTTGACTAGTGGCTTGTCACTTGTTACTGACAACTCCATAAGCTAAGCCATTCAAAACTTATTACACAGGATGATAGTCTGAAGACTAGAGTAACGTTCCAGGACAGTTGGACTGAGACTTTTCATGCAGAGATGAAGTCCTCGTCGTCGCTAATGTCAATGGACGCAAAAATATCGTTCCGAAATATTTCAAGGAAGGGTGAAAGTTGGTCGCGCCTCATCTCAAACGCTTTGACTTTCTCCACAGGACAAGAGCTGCTATGCTTGTCGTCTGCTAGCTCTGGGTGATTTCTACTTCACCACCAACGAAGCCTAGTAAGAATACACGATCGTTGCGAGGTCGGTTGATTACCGTCGGCGGAATCACCTCGATCTTGAAATGAACTTTTTTTTAGCCGTGGCATGCCTATTTATTTTAGCTGTGTGGTCACAGCTCATGCAGGTAAGTGTACTATCACGTCCAGCGCGCCCTCTTTTTCAGCATCACTGGTATACCATGGTACGGCACCTGCGCGTGCATCACTAGCACTACGTGTAGAGTCTACACTGCTCTTGCAGGTACAATCATGTACTGAGTGTCTCAGCCAGAGCGACAAATTTTATCGCTGTTGCAGGCTTTTAGTTTGCTGACCCCTCGATGTGTCTCCAAGTGCTGCCACTTGTTCCACGAAGTCATTCTCACCCCAGCTAAGGTAAAACAGTGATGAGGCTTGAGTGAATGGCCATAAGCACGAGAAATGTGCAGGCTGCAACGCCTGACTGATCTCAGCGAGTCGAAATTACCATCGCAATGAAAAACCAGCGAAGAAATGCGTCTAGTTCAAAAATTCCAGCTTCCAATAACAGAAAATAGAACTTTGCCGTCACCCTATACTGATGACTATCGCCTAGGTCCGATTCCTTGCCTCTGGTACGAGTGCTGGTGAGTATATACCCCGTTTTATATCAAAAGTCAAACTGCGACAATTTCGATGACGCGGAGGAAGTAGATGGTAGAGGTAAGTGCACAAACGTTGTTCTACCGGTTTTAGTAGTTTTTTTACTATATGTAGGTGAAATGTTTCTTTTCTGTATGGAGTTGTGTACAACTCCTTGATTTTGCCATACCTCTACCAACGTCTACCGACTTCTACCAACTTATTTCCTGGTAGAGCCGATAGAGGAAAGTAGAATCTCCCCTTTTGAGTAGAAAAAACAAACACCTCTACCCAAAGAAGTAGTTTCTACCAAAACCTGTAGATCAAAAACGAATGCCCCCTAGATCTGGCATGCATAAAAAGTAGCAGCAAAAAAAGCCGACCACCCGACCCGTACTTTTCGGGCCATGTTACCCGAAACAAAAGACATTTTTGGTACGACCCTATGCGATTCTCTGCATGGGCATCAATGCAATGCAAATATACACTGCCCGCAAGTCTGACAGCTGACAGGACTCCAATGGTCAAATCAGGGCATAGATTAGCGGCCGGAATATCGGACATTTTCCGGCCATTTTCGGCCACTGACTGGACGTTTTCAATTTCACCGGACATAGTGTCCGGTCAAAAAAGTAAAAAAAAGAGCAGCGACCTTTCGACCTTTTTATGCAGAGCTGGGCTTTCTTCGGAGCTTCGTGCCAAATGCGACTTGCATATCGTACAACTAACACGTACACCGTAGTCTCAGGCGTAGACTTCACTATATTTACTTGATCCGCCTGTAGCAACGCGTTGTTGCTACAGTCACACTTTCGACCGTTGGTGTCGACTTCGCACTTGAATCGATGGGTTGGACTGCTACTGCAGTACATGTACATGTAGTACTAAAAAAAAGAAGAAGAAGAAGAAACACCCTGAAAATGTGTTGTGGAAAATGTCCGGGCATGTCCGGACAGATTTCAAAACGGAAGGACATTGTCCGAGCTAAATGAAATCCTTCAGCTATGCCCTGAAAATGTATGGAGAAGTTGCAGGTTTTAGATATAAACGTGATCAACTGGAACAGGGTGGAAGGGCGCTCAGAAGCAAGTGCAGGCAGTCAAAAAAGGTGACAAATAAACAATGCTATGCTACACACCTGTCAATATGAGTACAATCATGAAAGTACAGTCATGTACATGTGTGTAGACGATTCCATACACCACCTGGCCCTAACGAACGCATTTTCTCGCACCGCTGGGTGGCCACCTAAACCAGGTTTTAACCCTTTATTGACAGACTGCACGAGTTTCGATCATATAATTATGATCGAAAGTCTGCAGGCGGTAAAATCTTCGTAACTCCATCGTTTCTTGAGCAAATTCCACAATCAAAGAGTCTACGTGGTAGCGGAAACTCCAAGCTGTCCAATGCAACAATCGCCGAAGAGTTACGATGTCGGACGCCAGAGATATCGCACGCCGGATTCTTACCTCGGCAAATTCAAATTTTGATCGATCATTTTTTTGGGGGAAAATCCCTTTTCGTGTGCTCTTTGAGCGACTGAGCACATGATAATGACGTAGCAGGCTGAAGTTTGAATCGTCTCAAACAGATTTGAGCGTTCTGCGATGACTGAGTCGAGTGGAATGGCATTGATGGGACGAATTTGCTTGCATATCAGGCTTGGAGACAACTTTGCTGTGTCACCGCGCCTGATTTGTAGTGGCTGGATAATGGAGCTTGGTACCTTGGCGTTGCTCTCCCCAAGAGCTTTCCAATGAGCCCTTGATTGTGAAAATCAAGTGAAGGACACCAAAGTTATGACATGGAAAAGTTGAAAATTGTACTGACATTTTGTAATTCTGGTGCATACTGTGCTACTAATCCGTCCATAAAGGGTTAAAGGGGAAGTGCACCGATTTTTCGAGTATGGTCCAGAAGAAAGACAATTTGATGTCGGTTCGAATGGCATATCTCTCGCTTCCATACGATAAGCCAAACTTGCCAAATCGCCAATTGTATACTCACGTTGCCATAGCGACCACCGCAGTGATGACGTACGAAAGGCTTAGCTCCACCACAGAGAAGGTCGATCACTGCAAAATTTGGTCATTTTCAATTGGTTTATTGTATTCACGAAGTGAAAGAAAGGCTGTGTTCAATGCTGTTAGTGCAGTGAATTGTTTGTTAGTAGTCCTCTCGGTTGTGTACTGGGACGTGACACCGACAGGAGAAAGCTGGAGTGCGGAGACACCAGCAGACAAGCGAAAATAGTGACGAACAAAATGCTGTAATCTTGGTTGGGACAAATCAGACGTTCAGCATTTCCCCCAACCAAGGACCATGCCGTTTGCTCTTTCCACTTCCTGAAGATGAATGTGATGCTTCCTGGCGACTCTGCTATCTCTCGTAACATCTTCTGAAGCCAGGTGAGACGACGGGTGGTGGAGATTGACGAATGAAATAATGTCGTAGGTTTGAAAGTTTGCTGAAAATGTCTCAGGAGAGATGGCGAATTCCAAGTATCTTGTCCTCGAGGAAACCATTTCCTAGGCGCAGTCAGCCTAGGGGAATGCATGAGAAGGGCGATAAATAGCTCACGACACTAACAGCATTGAACACAGCACTTCTTTCACATCGTGAATACAATAAGACAATTGAAAAATGACCAATTTCTGCAGTGATCGACCTTCTCTGTGGAGGAGCTAAGCCTTTCATACGTCATCACTGCTCTGGTCGCTATGGCAACGTGAGCATACAATTGGCGATTTGGCAAGTTTGGCTTATCGTATGGAAGCGAGAGATATGCCATTCGAACCGATATCAAATTGTCTTTCTTCTGGACCCTACTCGAAAAATCGATGCACTTCCCCTTTAAGAACCAATGTCTGTAACGACCAAATACCACCCGACATGGCAAAATTTCCGATTTCGCTCAAAGTTGGCTCCTTTTATCCCTGTGTGGACCTTGTTCGCCCACTATGATGGTTTGGTCCAGAGACCCTCCTCCGTTCCTTGGGTATTGGGCAAAATACAGAAATCGACTAAAATGCTCACTGAAACAAGGTACAAGAACGAGGGGCCAGCGCTGCTCACAATAACAGAGCGAAGCCAAACCAACTATGTTCGCACACTGATCCAAGTTGCATAGTAATGTTTAGCCATCCAACTTTCAAAATTCAATGATGCCATCTTCATTTGATCCGTCGATTCATAGTAGTAGAAGTAGAAGATTCTTTTTTTCGACCAGACGAGACCAGACGAGACCAGACGACGCTTGGGAACACCAGCAGAAACCGTTCACCATGAACAGCTCACCAGCAACACGCTAGAACAGCAAGTAGTTACACGCTACTCCTGACAAGCTTGTTTTGTTCCATAGGATAGTGGGAACTCACGAGAGGAGAACAGATGTTGAATGAAAAGGGTTGGATAAGAGAATACTACTTTATACAGAAGATTGAGATACTGGCACAAGGTGTTAACAGTCAACTAACACACATACATGACAAACCAACACAAACCGAATAGTGTAGAATGGAGGTTTTCCTGAACCCTGCCAGACACAACTAACAGAAGCGCTAATTCAGTCACAAAGAGAAAGAGAGGTAAACAATTAGGCTGCGCTATAAACCACGCGTCGATTTTGGAGTGGAATATATAGGATATTGTTTGTTGATGACAATGATGGACTAACTAATTGAAATAACTGACATGTATAGTATTGCACGGCGATCGTTTCGCTGTATTGTTCATGACGGGTCTTCAGGTGTGCATTCAGAACTCAGATGGTGAGCCAGGGGAAAATTTGTAACATGGGAAATTGTGGGCACAAGTTGTGCGATCGAGTCCACCAACTAAACCAGATTTTGAACAGCCAGACGTGCACAATCTAGCGCAAAACTGACAAGGAGTACTGAGATATTCCACGACATGAAAGTCAGCTTGAGCACTGCTCGGTAGTGCTAACCAATGACCTTCCCACTTGGAAGGTGCATGGATATTAGTGATAAGTACAGTACTGTAGGATACTGGCGTTCGGTTTGCTACAATTTGTCCTGGCGCAGCTTCCCATTGCTGGTAGCGACAGCAGCTTTCTTAGTGCCGACTCGTAGTGACTATTTTCACAACGCTGTGCAAAGAGGACCCAAGCCCTGTTTACAGGTCATGTGCGTACACATGGTACACGGGTTCACGAACCCTTCCATATCTGAAGCTGAAAAAAACATGCACTGCACTCGTACTTGAGAACTGCATGGATGCAAACAACTCCTTGATTGATCGTGCAACTGGCAAAACAATTCGCACCTTGGTGTCCGCCATGTAGTCCGCAGCAAAGCAAGCTCGTCGTGCACTACAAACTCGCACTGCAGCGCTACAGGAACACGAGAAACAGAACGAAAGCCAGTGCTGGATCCGAAAGAGGAACGCACTCGAAGTTTTCTTCGTACCAAGTTGGAGCGTCCAACACTGCTGTTGCTCTGCCACGTCTATCGCCAAGGACCTGCTATCAGAGACAAGGTTGTTCACGAAAGACTGCAGTGGACATCGTGTCGTTGCAGTTACGGAGTGAGGAGAACTTAGACCATCCTGATCACAGCACCAAATGTCGCATCCCTGTGCTCCGTGACCGGACCCAAAAATCACTACGAGGGGCGACTGAATAGACGTGTGGCCTCACGACAAGCCCAACACAACCCAGGGGCCAGCCAATATAGCTGGCTTGGTCCAAGTTCAACCCCACACGATCAACAGACAAAGATTGTCCCGCTCACCCACATCAGAGTAAAATGTGCGTATGAGGGTCACGTTGGGAAGCCCGCTCACCCAACGTGCCATTGCTCAGCGGCTTCTTATGGGTAGGTTCTGCGATATTCTATGCTCTGCTTGCGTGATACCCTTGACCGGGCGCGGTGACGGTTTTGGCTCTTGCGCCGCCCGTCTTGGCTCTGCGCTCTTCGCACTTAGCTCTGTTAGTATTGGCTCTTTGCACAAAGCACCGAGGCATCCTGGAAACCTGTAGAACGTCGTATCGATGTGGTTTTGCACAAAGCCTGGAGTCACATTTCCAGGAAGAGAAACACTTCCAGGAAATGTACAATGCGAGAACCTACCTGACCAGGTTCCGACGTTGGGTCACATGATGTGCCATGCCAAGAAGGCATGTCACCTACGTGGGAAAGCGTGTGTCGCTCAACCTACATGCTAAGCACGTGGGACAAGACACTGTCCGAACCACGTTGTATCAAAAGGGCATGGCAGCTCGGCACAGAGCTGCTCACTAGGTAGATCCTGCTGTCACAGGACTATAAGGCAGCAGTCGTCACAAACAGGGACGTGACAGATGAATGAAGTCGAAAATTCAAACAACAATTCCTGACGAAACTCACCTGACTCAATCGACATGTCCACAACACGTATGAAGCTCCGATGACAATGACCACCATCGATACAACAGCCGCTGAATTGTTTGTGTCTGCAGCTACCGAAGGTTCAGCCTGAAAACAACACAGACACAGTGTCTCTGAAAATAGGGAACTAATTCGAAGTAGTATTTGTAATTGGTAGCCAAACCCAGTACTGAGGATTTCCAGGCATTCCCAGAGCCACCATTGACCAACTACTTCCTCAAAAAGGTGCGAAAGTGAAAACTAGGCGTGCGAAAGGCGTCTATGTGTGTTTAAGCCAGTCTTCATACAGGTCTATACCCCACTACAGCCAGTCTTCATACAGGTCTATACTCCACTACAGCCAGTCTTCATACAGGTCTATACTCCACTACAGCCAGTCTTCATACAGGTCTATACCCCACTACAGCCAGTCTTCATACAGGTCTATACTCCACTACAGCCAGTCTTCATACAGGTCTATACTCCACTACAGCCAGTCTTCATACAGGTCTATACTCCACTGCAGCCAATCTTCATACAGGTCTATACTCCACTACAGCCAATCTTCATACAGGTCTATACTCCACTACAGCCAATCTTCATACAGGTCTATACTCCACTACAGCCAATCTTCATACAGGTCTATACTCCACTACAGCCAGTCTTCATACAGGTCTATACTCCACTACAGCCAGTCTTCATACAGGTCTCAGGCGCGTGGACCGCGTGGTTTTCTTCGAGCCCGGAAACCACCTTTTTGCGGCCATCGATATTTTTGCTGCATGCGCAATGCGCGTGCCCTGTCACAGTGTGCGTAGATGCACTTTTCGTGCGCATGTGAAAGGCAGGGAACGTCTAGTGCACGTGCCCACCGCTACTGCTGAGTACAAGTCATCAGGCACAGCCACTAGTCTACAGTACAGGCACAGCCACTAGTCTACAGTACTGGCGCTAGTGACATGTCCACTCACGCGCGATGCAAATAATTTTTTGCTGGACTCGACTACACTGTATACAGTGTACTTGACATGTGCTTGTGCAATTCAAGGACATCAAAGACAAAGCGCGGACAGTAGGCATGTCGCATATGTCCAAAGTGGAAACAAGTGCTTTCATCTTGGTTTTGAAGTGGGTGCTTTGGTCTTGGACTTGAGTACGAGCGGCTGTCTGTTTTGTTAGTAAAATTACTGTTCAGGTTTGTGGTTTTGAGGACAAAGGCAATGTGTTTTCAGCAGAAGACTTTGTCCGCTCTCTGGGGGGAAAAACCAGCAGCGTCGCACCCGGAACGACATGAAGTTTCTGACGGAGAGTCGGATTCTTCCGCCACCGGTACCGGCATTGCTGAAGGCGGCAGCCAAGTTGAAGTTTCACAATAGAGGACGAAACTGCTGACGAGCCCGCTGAAAAAAGATTCACTTTTGGTGAGGTGGGGGCTGACAGTCACAATGAGCCAGACAGTGACATGGATTGACCTGCTTCTTTGACTCACTTACTAGCAAGAGTGTCTGAATCTTCCTTCACTACTTCGAACTACTTGTATAACGTCGGCTAGCCTATTCATTTATCCTGTGTCAGGAAAATGCCTTTGTACCACATTTGTTTTGATGGCTCGGTGGGACTGGCAGCCAAAACGTTTAAAGCTTTCTTTTAGTGTGTATTACCAGGGGGTCGGATTCATCAGTAATACTAGGGGGTCGTATACGACTCCCTGGTATTACTGATGAATCTGCAGGTCGCTTATTGCTAAATGTCGGACACACAGATACACAGATACACCCACACACACACACACACACACACACACACACACACACACACACACACAAACACACACACATACACACAAACACAAACACACACACAAACACACACACACATACTCACACACTCACACAGAAGACAGAATCAAAATACAGAATCAAAAGGAACATGGAGAGACTCAACATGAAACAAGACAATACCTTTTCGGTTGGCTTGGTCTTTGAATTCTGACTTGGTGTCCCACCCGAGGCGGATTCAGATGAGCTTGCAACTGTAGTAGCTTTAGCCTACAAACAGCAGAGACATATGATGAAGTAAATTTCTGTACCAGCAATCGTTAGAGATAGCGAAAAACAGTGTTTGTATACCTAGTCCCAGCATAACACAAATCCACTGGGACATGCTGCAGCTAATATGGTCTAGTCTACACTAGATGGCCGTGGCTGCAAACATAGTTATCTTTCTATTTCGGTGAGAGCCCAGAAAAGTGCAACCGACCTCTACAAATACAAACAAACACATATGTACCAGCCCGCCTACTGAAAGAGGCAACCAGTTCACTTGCGCCGTCCCTAGTAACCCTTTTTAACATCTCCTTCAAACGTTGCACTATTCCGCAAGAGTGGAGGGACGCAACAGTCACCCCCACAAGATGGGCAGCAAAGCTGAGCCCTCCAACTATCGACCGATATCGCTGCTCAGCGTGACGTCAAAAATGCAAGAGAGGATAGTTGCTGACCGGATCTCCAAGCACATCCAACCTCACCTCCCCAACGGCCAATCCCCGTGGCTGCAATTCCTTTTCTCTTATTGGCCACAGGCCATCGTGAGATTAATAGATTTCAAACACACACACACACACACACACACACAGACACACACACACACACACACACACACAAACACACACACACAGACACACACACACATACACACACACACACACAAACACAATTTTACTTAAACTGATACTTGTATGGATTCGTGGTAACTGCCAACACTGGTGGTCACATGGGTCTCTGTGGGAGAAGAGAGCGAGAATCAATAGGAACATGGACACCTAAAACTAAGCAAGACAATACCTTTTTCTTTGACTTCGTCTTTGAATTCTGACTTGGTGTCCCATCCGAGGCGGATTGAGATGAGCTTGCAACTGTAGTAGCTTTGTCCTATAAACAGCAGAGACAAATGATCAAGTAAATTTCTGTACCAGCCAAATCGTAAGAGATAGCGAAAACCAGTGTTTGTGTACCTAGTTCCAGCATAACACAAATCCAGTGGAACATGCTGCAGCTAATATGGCCTAGTCTACACTAGACGGCCGTGGCTGCAAAAACAGTTATCCTTCTATTTTAGTGAGAGACCAGAAAAGTGCAACCGACGTTTACAACTACAACTACAAACACAAGCACACACAGACAGACAGACAGACGGACAGACAGACAGACACACACACACACACAAACACAATTTTACTTCTACTGATGTTGTACGTATACTTGTAAACTGACAAAACTGGTCACATGAGTCTCCCAGGGAGTGGGGAGACAGAATCAAAAGAAACATGGAGAGACTCAACATGAAACAAGACAATACCTTTTTCTTTGACTTCGTCTTTGAAATCGGCCTTGGTGTCCCATCCGAGGCGGATTGAGATGAGCTTGCAACTGTAGTAGCTTTGGCCTATAAACAGCAGAGACCATTATGATCAAGTAAATTTCTGTACCAGCATTCGTAAGAAATACTGTCAATATACAAATTTTCGGCAGCTATTTAATTTCGGCTATATTCGGCACCGATCCAAAACGCCTAAATTAAAACGCCGATGAAATTTTTTACAGCATCTGTCGCACTATACCATACCATCTACCCCACGGCGAAAATATATCGCCGCCGAAATGTCAAAAATCGTGAAGTGCCGAAATTTTGCAGCGCCGAAATTTTGTATATTTACAGTAGCGAAAACCAGTGTTTGTGTACCTAGTCCCAGCATAATACAAATCCACTGGAACATGCTGCAGCTAATATGGCCTAGTCTACACTAGACGGCTGTGGCTGCAAACACAGTTATCCTTCTATTTTGGTTAGAGGCCAGAAAAGTGCAACCGCCCTCTACAACTACAAACACACACACACACATACACACACACACACACATGCACACACACAAACACACACACACACACACACACACAAACACATTAACAAGAACACATATTGCTTGGGTGGATGGTGCGCGGCCGGCGAAATTGAATTGCATTTGCCCGGGGGGGGGGGGGGGGCAAGTAATAGCAGGGTTGGCAAGAGCCAAGAGCCCACTGATGCATTCAATGGAGAAATGGAGAGCCGCCGGGCACCGTTTATTGGGGTTTACTTTATAAAAGTAAGCATGTGAGGATAAGTATGGGAGTGGGAGGGTGGGAACGAGAAACAAATAAACTGACAACCAGTCACCACCATGAAAAATTCTTGAGAAGAGATTGTCAGCAAGGGAGCAAGAAAAATGAGTCGCCATTTTTGCGTCATGGTAACCGGACATCAGTATGGTTGCTGACGTCATGGGCACGTTGTGTGCGCTGGGGTAAATGTGAGTGGCAACACTGACATTTGTGCGGCGCCATGCCTGCGTGAGGACACAGGGCAGCAGAGACAGTTGTGCGGCACCATGCGCCCGCAAGGACATGGGGCGGCAGAGGTAGGTGTGCTCCCCACGCGCCTGCGAGGACAAAGGGCGGCGGAGACAGTTGTGCGGCACCATGCGCATGCAAGGGCATGGGGCAGCAGGGGCAGTTGTGCGGCACCATGTGCATTCGAGGACATGGGGCAGCACGTACCCGCGGCGGCGAGCTGCAATAATGCTAGCTGTTAATGAGCATAAACGCTGCGCTTTAATGCGACACTCACACACACAATTTTACTTCTACTTATTTTGTCCGGATACTTGTAAACAGAAAAAAAAACTAGTCACATGGGTCTCCCAGGGAGTGGGGAGACAGAATCAAAAGAAACATGGAGAGATTCAACATGAAACAAGACAATACCTTTTCGGTTGGCTTGGTCTTTGAATTCTGACTTGGGGTCCCATCTGAGGCGGATTCAGATGAGCTTGCAACTGTAGTAGCTTTGTCCTATAAACAGCAGAGACATATGATCAAGTAAATTTCTGTACCAGCAATCGTATAAGATAGCGAAAACCAGTGTTTGTGTACCTCATCCCAGCATAACACAAATCGACTGGAACATGCTGCAGCAAATATGGCCTAGTCTACACCAGACGGCCGTGGCTGCAAACACAGTTATCCTTCTATTTTAGTCAGAGCCCAGAAAAGTGCAACCGACCTCTACAAATACAAAC